CGTTCTCGACAGCTGACGGTGGGTCGACTGTCGAAATCGAAGTGCAATCACGTCGCTTGGCATTCATCGACGTAAAATAAACGAAGCGCTATCGCGCCGCTTGGGATAACTCGACGTAAAATAGAAAAAGCGCTGTCGCGCTGTTTGGGATTCTTCGACAGTGTGTTTTCTAAATCCTCTGGGGCTCAAACGGTTAATCCATTTGCATCCAAGCGCGGAATATTCCGCGAGCCGCGACTGTCTACTATCACCGAGCGCGGAATATTCCGCGAGCCGCGACTGTCTACTATCACCGAGCATGGAATATTCTATTTATAAAATAATATTTGTTTCTTTCCTTTTTCATAAGAAAATGTAAAATGCGATGTTTGCGACGTAACATTGCGTATCAATCGTTTTACACAGTACAGTTTTAATGAACTCCGCGAACAATTTGCATGTCGTCTGCTGCACATAAGACCGACCACGCGCGGTGATACGAGCCAGTCGTCAGTTGAACGTCGTTTCAGCGCGGCAGCTTAAGTAGAAGTCACGATGCAAATGGGTTAAGAATTATCTGCCTCGTCGAATAATCAGGGAAATATTATTTTCGGCGAATTTCCAGGGAACGAGGTGCGTGGAGAATGGAACGATTTCGGTAGTAACTCGCTCGTGTTATTGTTCTCGTATTATCGAAACTCCGGTACACGGATCCGCGAGGGGAAGTTGATTCGGTTTGCTACGATTACGCTAGCGAGCGAAGGTAGACGTTACAACTAGTTAGAACTCGGTTGGAAAGTTTTTCTCGACGTGGCTCGGTATAATAACTCGAGCCGGGCGGGACAAGAGGGAGCAAAAGAGAATCGGAAAAAGTCGACCGCGATGCTGTTCGCATAAGCCACCGATATCACTCCGCTCTGGCCAATTTAAAGTTACGATTCGAGAGGGTATCTCGCCGCCCGGGCGGCCGTGAATCCCAACCTCGACGACGTTATCACACGGTCCAGCTCTTTCCATCGTGCAACTTGGATCCCCTTGGTCGCTGAATTCCTGCGATTTCCAGCCTGGAAATGCACGCGTGCCGTCGAACGATCGAATCACGGGTCCCTGCCAGCGTCTCTCCTCGTCCCAAATTCTTCGCCGTAATTTCGGGCAGAACGACGGATCGGGTCGATTATAACGCGTCACGGTTCTTCAGCGGGGGAAGGATTCGTCGCCGGTGACCGGAAAATTCCAGCGATTTCCCGAATTTCAGGTCGCGTACGCGCGAGATTTCTCGATCTTTCGGAATCACCGGTGACTCTGGGTCACCCTCCGCGCAGATTCTTCGTCGCAATTTCGGTGAACGGCGGGGGGGTCTCACGGCGAATGGAACTTAACGCTCGTCGATCGAGCGAGAGGGTAGAGCGGGTTGAGCGACGGGGGGGTCGAACCGCTGGGCTCCAGCTCGCAGAGACGTTCCCCTGCCGGCAGGAGAATGCAAAAAGCTCGAGCCGGAGGAATTTCAATTTGCCCCGATATCAAATATTTCGGATTCTCCCGTCGGTGAGAAGGGTTTAATCAATTAGACGGATCAACTAGGCGCGGAGAAAAGTTCCCGTGGAAACGTGCCAACGCGATATCCACGGATTCGTCGATCGTGGATCGCGGCTGGCGCGAAAGCCTGGCCACGGCTGCGAGACGACATCGTGAAGGGTGCAAACGGGTCACGGGGATGGATGACGGGTAATGTAGCGTGCACATGATAAAAGCAATGCACGGTGAATAATAAAAAGGTCGGCGTTGCCTCGTGCCCGATGGCTCGCTCCTTAAAATTCCGAATGCTCGCGGCGCGATAAATTATTAATAACGTTTAGCCAGAAATTTGCCGCATTTGCATGAAAATTCATCGGTGATCGGTTCGACGTTCGCGCGTGTGTGTAACTCGCCCGTGCGCGACACGCGTTTCCGTTTCGGTGTGCTTTGCAACGAACCATAGGGCGCTCGCGCGCGAATTATATCGCGTTTCGACTCCGCGTGAAAATTACACGCAGACACGCCGAGTGCGACGCTTCGAGCGATCCCTTTCGCGCGTGGGAAGCTTCGCGAATTAATGAAAACCACCCCTTGCACCTGTGTCCATCCTCCATTCCGTCATACCGATTTTCTCTCGTCCATCATTTGCTTTTTTCCATTTCTTCCGCGTGCAAAATTTCGTTGCGAGTCTCGGAAATACCTCTTCACACGCGTCGACCTGGTCGGATTATCGTTTGAACGACAACCGAGTTTATTACCAGCATCGCGTCGCGTTTATAAGCAAAATATCGGTGGAAATTTTTCCTTCCTTTTTTCTCACGAATCGTGGCGAATCCGTCGAGAGACGGGGGCGGGGGGACGGTCGGGTAATCGCGGAAAGATTTCACGTAGCCGGTGAAATGGAAAAATTTGCGAGGTGGCAGGGTCACGGGGAATCTGTTAAACATTCGCAATCCCGGCACGGAATCGGGCGCGATATCAAAGACGAATTCCGCGCGTTTCGTAGGTGAAAATGGAGGGGTGGACGAGCAGGAGATATCCCCGGAATCGCGGCAGCGATATTTACGAGGGCGAGAGAGGGAAGGATATTTACGCGGAGAATTCTTTTCGGAGAATTTCCACGACGAATCGTCGCCGGCACGTCGCTCTAACGAGGCCGAAACACATGGACGGAACACGGTACCCCGACGCGGTCTCCCAACGCCGGAAGCGCGCCGCTCGGGCACGAATCCCGCTTTCTTCGCGCATCTGGCCGACATTTCTCGCGTGTGCACGCTCGCATCGCGCCGCGCCTTGGCGGTGTGCAGTCTGCGGCGAGAGACCACGGAAAGGGCGAAAAATACTTTTCGTATAAATTGTCGCGCAGGAATTCCACGACGATGCGCCGAACAAAACGCGGCCACGCTGCGAGCACGTAGAACGCGCGGAGCCACTGTGACCTGGCTGGTACGGACGGGTGGAACAGAGCAAGAGAAACTGCAGGCAAAGGAGGTGGAGTATCTCGTAAAAATGCAAACTTCTCTCTTCTCCGGCCCAAGTCGAGCGCAAAGCGTCGCTCGTTCCGCGACTCGTTGTTGTCGCGTCGTCGCCGTCCAAAAAAGTTCGACGTGCGTTTCCACTTGGAAAAAAACGCGCAACTGCTCGAGGATCGCGTTCGATAGGGTGGAACGATGGGTCGGGGGTGGGTTGGGTCGTTGGGGAAAATTCGAGCGAATGCTCGCTCGGCTGTGTGCAGCCGGGGTGACGAATAGGGAGGAACGATCGCGTAATTTCGGCAATGGGACGATTCCGAGAGAAATAGCGTTCGCTCGTCTTCGTTCGGAACGATACTTTGGAAATTCGCGACGCGACGCGACACGACGCCTCGGCGAGGGACACCGATCGAGGGGTTGGAATGGTTGGTCGCGATTGGAATAACCTTGGATCAGGAGATTAAGAGCCGTGACGGAAGGGGCGACCGATGCAAAGGTCGAGGATCGCTGGTGGATTGATCGCGTGCTGGCCTCGGGTACGAGGGGCCTCGAAAGGGTTGTTCGTGGCTCAGAAACGCCGACCTAAAGGGTATTAAGATACGGAATAATTCTGTAATTTACGGCGACATAAATCAGAGCGGACTTCTTCCTCGCGAGTTCCTTGACGATTGCAAAACTATGGAGATGTACTTGGACTTATCGATCATCGGGAAGCGGCGGAATTTTCCGCGATACAGCGTTCGCGTGCATAGATACGAATCCCTTTAAAAGTTTCTATTTCATCCAGAGACGTCTCGCCCTTCCTCGTCGCGACTCGATGCAAATTTGCCCGGTATCCGCGTTAACGTTGTCCCCGGTATAATAACTCGCAGCGAAAAAACCTGGGAACTTGTCCTCCCAGGCATTTACGACTACCACCGACTCGGTTTTATCGAAACTTCGATACGCGTTCCGTCGCTTTCGCGATTCGGGACGGAGCGGGTGAGCGTGGGAAGCACGGCGAGGAGCGAGTGTTCTCGGCGAGGTTTCCGCGCGGAAATTCGCGGGAGATTAAACGAAAATTGAAAGAGTTAAACGCGACGGCGTTTTTTTTTTCCCCACAGCGTTGTAAAAAGGAAGGCGCGATACGCCGGGAAATGGACGGGAGAAGCCGGCAAGGGCGAGAGGGTGGTCGCGCGGGATTACGGCGAGCTTAAAATTTTTAATTTTGGTTTACGACGCGACTGAAAATCATATTTGCGGCCGCGTTGCATACGCGGCCGACGTTTCGCCCTCGGTGATGCGAACAACGTCGACACGGTCACGCCGCCGCTTTCCCGTGTCCACGGAAGCTGCTGCGTTTTTCCCCCGTTTATTTCTCGCGTCGATAAAACGTTAATTGCTTTCGTCGCGAGCACACACTGGTCGCGCGACTACGTCTTGGATCCCGTCCGAAAAACGGTCATAACGTCCGTCCAACTTTGGCCGCCGATCGATACTTGGCGAATTTAATTAGCCACCCCTGGGTATCCTCGCGTGTTTTCCAGCAACGGGTAATTACGAAAATTGCAATTCATACGAGCAAACATACCTTGGCGCGCGATCGCGCGCGGCTACTAATTCGATTTAATGAAGAAGCCCGCGGTAATGTTACAATCAAAACATCCTACCGTCTGCCGATCGATGGTAAACGAATTATAATTTTACAATAGCTGGCCCACACACCCTCCGCGCGGCTGTCGGGCCGGATTGCGTGCCACGGAGGATAATTGCGGAACGTGTCAGCCTCTTGGATCGTGATAAACGAGCACCGTTCCGCTCGCATCTAGAGTTTCGTCTCGTATCGTCTTACCGGTATCGAACGATTCGGAGGCCCGAGCAGATGCGGAGAGACGGCGTAATTTCGTAGGCGAAGCTCGTCATGCAAATTCCTCTGGCGAATCGATTCGACGGGGAAGACGATTCGTCAAAGGAAATCCATGGATGCGATGCAGCTTGCCGGTAAGTGGTTGCACCGCGTAAATGGAGTAACAAGCAGGTGGTAGGTGAACTGACCTGAGGTGGATAGTGATCCGGGAGCGCGTCGAGCGCCTCCCTGTACGCCGACAGGGCCCTTTGTAATCTGCCCTGATCGGCGTAGAGGGCGCCTAATTGAAGGAGGGCCTGCACTCTGGCCGCCTCGTGAGCCCTCTTGTCCTTGAGGCCGGAACCGTCCAAGGATGCGCCGGCCCGCAAAACCGCAGCCGCTTCCGTTCCGCGTCCGACCGAGGCCAGAGCCGCGCCCAGATTCACGTAAGCCTCTGCAAAGACAAACGATAAGGATCATGAGCACCGTTGGATTACTACGTCCTATGTGCGCCACGTTCCCGTTTCCACTCTCTCTCTCTCTCTCTCTCTCTCTTTCGCCCTTTCTTTCTCTCTCGCTTTCTCTCCGGAGATCGGCCATGAATTTATATAAATCGAACCGGCCGCGTTTTTCCATTTGTCCTCCTACGCTCCTGCCAGACAGTCCATTTCTCTTTCGCGCCTCTTTTACGACCGTCCAGCCTCGATCCTCTGCTCTTCCCGGAGCTTCCGAGGTTTACGGCCTGATTTTATAGCCGGTTTTTCTCGGTTCTACCTTTTAATTGATCCCGAGATATCCTTCATCGATCCACTCGTTGCCAAGCTGAGGTTAGATAAGACGCACTGCAACGGAGAATAATTTCCTACTCGCCCGAGTTAATTGTTCGAAATATCGTCGTAGACGACGAGGTTGCCAAGTGTGTGTATGTGTGTGTGTGTGTGTGTGTGTCTGTATGCGAAAGGTAGAGCGAAAGAGAGAGAGAGAGAGAGGGGGTGAAAATATTATGGGCGATAAAGTCTCTTGGGACGTTTAATTTAAGAAACTACGACGCGGTACAATCATAACAAGATCCACTTTTTGCTCTATTCGCCTGCAAGCGGAAGAGTAGGTAGAGCAGATTTTCGCGACGAGGGGTTCCTTTAGAAATTCGGACAGAGGCAGGGTCGGGGTCAGTCTTTAGCGTAAATTCAGACATTCATCCGGCCAGCACTTCGCTTCTTGCTCTGTACGCTCTTAGTTAAAAGGGCATTGCCTGGCTTCCGGGGCGGGCTGGTTTCACGACTCCACGGCGAATCGGGTTAGCTCCGCACGAATTCCCGTCTTTTGTCGCGTGTACTCGTATTTCTTTGGCTAATTACTAAATATCGTGCGAAACGCCGACCCGCCGGCTGGCCTGATGCCGGCGGAACATCGCGAAGAGGCTTCGAGGGGCGAAGATTAACTTAGCTCCCGGGCTAATTTCCCCCGTTTGTTTCTTCCAGCGCGGGGATTTTAATTAAAACGAAAACGTCTCCAGGTGGAATCCCACGAACGCCCGGGGAACGACTGCAGCGATGGAATCCGCGTTTCTTATAGACTTTGAAAAGTTTCGATTCGCCTGGATAGGAGAAAATACCCAACGGTTTCTTCTTTATCCTATTCTTCGACGTCTTTCCCTTTTCGCTCTTCATTCTCCTCCTCCTTCTTCTTCTTCTTCTTCTTCTTCTTCTTCTTCTTGCGCCCCGTCTTTACCCTTTTTTCGCCATAAATTCAGTACACGCCGTTGTAGTCGCTAAACGATCCGCGGCACAATGGCCGGGCAACCGCGTCCAGGGGTGCAAAGCGGAGAGGGTGGGCTCTCGAGGAGCCGGACAAAAAGCCGCGGCCGGCTATGACTTTAATTAAAAATTTCAAGTTACCGCGAGGCATCCTTGCAGCGGTTGAATCCCCGCGAGGCCGCGTCACCGAACAACCAGGCCAAAGTGAAACGTATTAAAAAGTTTATTTCCACTTTTATTGTCACCCTCGTGGAACGTGATCCCTTACGCCTGTAGGAAAAAGAGAAAAAGAGGAGGGAAAAAAAAAAGGGAAAAAGCAGCGGCGAAAAACGAGAACGGCGAGCGGGATGGAAAGGGGATGAAAAGGGGTTGGAAAGTAGCGGGGAGACGCGATGAATCTCGGTGGATCGATAGAGGGAACGCGGAGCCTCTTAATTCGAGGCAATCTGCTTCTTCGAGATTTCCAACGACGGATTTCCAATTCCTGACCTTTCCCATGAGATCGGGCCGCTCGATCCTCTAATTTCGTCGCGTTTAACTTTCCTCGGGCCAGCCGTTTCTCGTTCAACCGGCTAAACGTAATACACTACGGCTCGCGGAGGCTGCTGCTAATCCCGATATCATCCTACGCGATATTACAGCCCCGACGTAAGACGTTTACCCTCGTGCCTCGAGTTGCGCAGTATAAACAGGCGTCCGGGAAGACTTTCATTAACGAGCCGTGTGATTGGCAAATTTTCCAGGCGTCGTTATCGCGTCCCCGGTAAATCCGGTTTGGTTTAACGAAATCCACCCCTCCCGATATCGAGTCCAGGATCGTTTTTCCCCACCGGGAGATCGGCACCGACGCCGAGGCGTCTCGAGGTAACTCGATTCGCGTAACCACACGCGCGCGGTTCGCGAGAGGGGGCCCCCCCAGCCCTGTCCGCGCTATTTCGACGATTACTCCCGCGTTACTCGCGTCGGATTACCACCTGTAATTATAAACTTGCCACGCCGCGAGTTTTCCATCCATCGATAAATCATCCTTAATTGATCGCGAGCCACGAGACAGGCCTCGGGCGCCGATCTGTCGTTGACTAACCGCGCGGTGAAGCGACTTTCCCGAAGCGCTAACGAGTAATCGATACCCGATCCGGTGTCATCGGTTCTTCCGAGATACAACGCGCCGACAACTTTTCCACCCTATCACCGGTCCTCCACACCCCTCGCGCCGCGGTCTAGTCGCGAAACGCCCACCGCAATTCCGCGCGTAATCCGTCATGCGTGTACCCCAGAAGGGTCGCTGTGCGGTGAAGCTGCGTTTTAAGATATTGCGATCAAGACGTCATCACCGATGCGTAATCTTCTCGAGGATGCCATACGATACGGAGAGTAGCTAAATCAAGGTAACCACGTCGACCAATGATCCACGGACATCTCGGCTCGCCGTACACCGTTCTGCTCGATAGGGATCGGGTCGAGGCCGAGGTGTACTCTTCGCCCTCTTAACCGAGCTTTCACGACCATTATCTTCTCGAGTTTCTGCCAATTCGCTCGTTCGTATGCCTCGAACGCGTAAACTTTGATGCTTGACCGATTTTACGAGCCCGTTATCACGCGGCAGGCCATATCGCGCACGTACGAGGAGCGAGACTGTATCGACGGGGCCGTACGCTCGGCTAGGGAGTCTCTCGGATACTCTAATTCCATAGAGTATCCCCGGGGACCGCGACGAGGAAAATGGATTGCCCGACTGCTGTCTCGTTCCTTATTCAAAATAATGTGAAGCATAGGGGTCGGTTCGCTGTATAAGGCAGCCGCCAGGAAATTGCCATTTCGATGCTCCGGTTTCTCTTCTCTTAACGAAAACTTTTTGCTAATTAAACCCGGCTGCCCCGGCGGATCAGCGCGAGATAGCAGCCCGGCGAGTTTTATATTTTCAGTGCCGGTGCCACCGGGCTTCCTCGCGGAAGAAATATTAAGATTGTTCCGGGATAATACGCAGGTCGGCGTACCGTGTGCTAGGAACATTGCGGTCTATCCGAAGGGAGAGTGTATCGTCGGCGCGGCTGATTATCGCGCTCGCGATAGCGTGCGTCGCGATTTTTCACCGCGATATCGCGTTATGGCTTTTATAAATTCAAGCGGCAGCCGTTGGCGAACGACCGGGCGGCGGGGGGCAGGGTGCTCGGGGCCAGGGGCGAGATTCACGTGCGGATAATTAATTAAAAGCGCTCGAATTTCGTCGAACCATTCGCGGATATTTCAAATTCGCGCTCCCCGCCACGCGATACCAGACGTCATTTGCAATCACGACCAAGAGGATTTCGCGGAATGCTGATCGATTCGCTATTTCGCTTTACGCTTGATCGTTCTTGCTAAAAGAGATTCCCCGTGACGATCAATTTCGCCACCTTGCTCGCATTTTACGCGCCACTCCCCTCTCTCCCTCTCTCTCTCTCTCTCTATCGCTGGTGATAAAATAAAACACACGTTTTTCGCGTAAAAAGAGAGAGAGAGAGGGAGAGAGGAGCCAATGAACGGGTAATATAACAGGCCCGCAGTTGCGGACCTGGTCGCGATCAATTCTGACGGATTATTAAGCTCGTAAACGAGCCGGCCGCGCTGTGATTCCGCGTCGACGAGCCACCGTCGATCGCCACCTGTAAAATTCGTTACGACACCACCCGAGCCGGATATTTACTGCGATAGCTTTCGCCGTGGAACAAAAACGAGCGGAACCAGCTCGCGTATATCCGATTGCATTACCGTACCGCGGCAATTACCGCGATTGGATAGCCTCGAACAATATTTCTTCTCGGCCCGGCACCAAGCAATCGCGCTCCAGTTCGGTAGACCCGGTGCTGCGGCCGACGCTGATTTCGCATTTGTCCGACCGACCGACCGACCGACCGACCGACCGGATTCCGCCGACCGTTGCGTTCGATACCCGACTATCGATGCTTCGACGAAGATTCAACTTCGCGAACGAGCACCGAGTCGGTTGGATAAACTCCTCGCGAGTACTCGAGAGTCGCCGCGCGGAACGGAATTGCCGGAACGCGTGCCGAAGGAAGCGCAGGAACGCGTGGAAAGTTTGCGACGCAAGAAAACGCGCGCCGGTTACCCGTGACGTCTGTGTCGAGGGACTCGAAGGATAAGGTAACGCTTGCTCCTTCCAGAGAAGGTCTCCATTTCTCCGTCCAGTCTTGGGGTTTCTTGCGACTAGTTCGAGGTCGTGGGCCTGGGCGGGTTCGGGTCGGGAGAAAATATCAGAAATAACAAGCGCCGGGGTACATGGGATAATGTATGCAGCCGGGTAAGGGTAGGAGGGAGTAATATTTCACGGGAGCGAAAAACGCTGGTTTCCGTGACTTTTCGCGAGTTCGCAGACGGAAAAACATCCGCGCGACGGGGTCGGTTTCTTGGCCGGCAAAAAGCACGTCCTTCGCTCGTGCTCGATACGACTTTCTCGTCGGGGGGTTGATTCGCGGAGGCCGCGAGAAAGAGGGTAGAGCCGGCCGAGCAGGGAAAAAGCGGAAACGACGAGGCGAGGCGCGAAACGGGCCGAGACGGGGCTGCTGCTGCTGCTGCTGCTGCTCTTGGCACCGAGATATATCGTGGTTGGACTTTGGCGGCCGGACCAAGGATCCTGCGAAGGCGAACGCCGACGAGTCAGGTGGTCGAGCGACACGGAAAACGCGGCGGTGCAGGA